TGAGCGTTTATTGAATGTTCACTCGATACAGGTAAGTTCTCGCTATTTGATAACTGCAAGTAATTGTTATTCAATAATTACAAACGAAATAAAAATATTACTTTTAGTAATGGTACGTAAATAAAACAACATATCAATTACCATTTGAGAAGTGGTATTGAAAGCTGTTGTTGATGATGTTTGGGTAGTTTCTATGTCCAGGGAATTATTTGTATTGGCAGTGTTTACAGCATTTGTAGTAGAAGTTACTTCTACACCAGGGATTGTACTACTTGCTGAATTGTACTTTTCATTTGCTGAACCATCAAGGGAACTTGAATCACTCCCAAACTCAAGTGCACCAAATTGGACATCAAGAAATCCAATACCACTGTTAACGGCATCTCCTGGCATTTCTACAGCAGTAGATGGAATTTTTGATGGTGGTGGTACTCGTGGACGTTGCTTTGTCTGTCTTTGAGGCTGAATAATAAATATAAATTTTTAATTAAATTTAGTTGATAAAATAAGAAATGGTTCATTTACTTAATTACCTGATTAGAAATCGATGAAGAGAACGTTGTTTGACCCGCAGCTTTTAAGTTTTCACTTGTTTGTTGAGTAAGTTGCGTTAAATACTGAGTCTGTGCAGCTGTTAATACTCCACCACTTATGGCATTTGGCTGTTGTGATAATTGCATTGTTGGTAAACTTAACACAGATTGCTGTTGCTGTGTTTGTTGAATTAAAGTTTGTTGTTGTATAGGTGGTATTTCTGACAATTTTGGTAATTCCTTTATATTATATGTAAAAGAAAATATTTTATATTAGACATAATTGACAAATTTTAATATATAAAATAATAGTTATAAGTTACGTACTTCTTGTTGTAATAATGATAAATTTACATTTTGATTTGATTGCACTGTTTGTAAATCTTGGGTTTTTGGTTCTTCTATAGGAGGTGGAGGTTCCGCTACCGAAGTACTTGGTGTAAAAACTTTCGTATCTGCCAATGAACCTGTATACTCTTCATTATCCCAGTCTTCTGTAGAATCCAAATTATTCCATGCATCTAATCACACATTTTTAACGTATCCCATAAGAATTTAGGATAATTTAAAGTGATAATAACTGAAGATAATGGAAAAGCTTACCCATCTTTGGCTCTTGAACACCTTGCTGTTCTTCATTACCTGTCCATGTATCAATTGGCCGATTAAAACTATGAGCCGACGAAGCAGATGATGGATCATTACGATTAGCAAATGTCCGTGGACCAAGCCCTCTGCTTCCACCTCGTCCTCCTCGTCCTGGTCTTCCTGGACCACCTCTCCCCCTTCTATTACCACCGTAGCTGCCATCACGGACTCCGTCTTCCAGGTTTCTTTCGTTTTCTTTATTTTCTCGACCGCGCCCTACAGAATTTGTTTACATTAACAATTTGAACAATGTATGATAATACTGATATATATATAATATAATTTTTAACTTACATCCACGATTATCATGATTAGCACGCCCTCGCATACGTGGTGGACCACCTCCTCGTTGATTACGTCTTTCATCCCAATCACCACTCTCATCCTGACCACCAGAAGTATCCATGTTTTGTTTAGAACCACTAGGTTGGCGAGGCTTCTTTTTTTTCACCTCCCATTCTGTTTTAACTCCTTCCAAAAGATCATTAACAGCACGATCTAAATCTCCGTCACTATCATGTAAAGCCATAACAACTTCATCTTCTGAACGTCTAGTCATATCCATGACCTGCTTGATACGTTCTTTCAAAACAGGATCTTCTCCACTGCCCATTCTGGTATCAATAATTTGTGCATGTCGCATCTGAACAGTATTTGGCTATAATAACAAACGTTTTTATTAATGTTAAAAAATAAATACGAAAAATATACAGAAACTATATTTGTTTACAAATATAAATGATAAACATAAATTGAAATCAGCCATTTTAAAATTACATGATGTAATTTTAAATGATATATATAAAATGTTTCTACTCAGTAATAAAGTAACACATGCTTGTTGGAATCTATTACTCATTTACTGCAATAATGATCATTTACGTAAAAATCGTGATTTTAGAAAAAACAGATTTAAATGTTTCAAAACAGTATAACTTTGTACAGACAGTAGATGAAAACTTCTTTTACCTGCTTATTTCAAAAACTCACTTTCAAGACCTTACCACCAAAAAGCACAAGTAAGAATCACCACTCTTTCTGTACTAATAATTGAAAACTGTGAATTTTAACTTATTACTGCAGAAAATGAGTAATATCTTATATGTACAATACTAACCTGTGCTTTCTCATGTTTTGTTGAATCCGATGATTTAGTTTGATGATCTGACTTTCCATGTTGTTGTGATTTATTTTTGTTGGGGCCTCTCCCACCGGAGGACACCGATTTGTTGCTTGAACTCATTGCCAACTAAAATCCCACACACCTATATCACTCACCTATCACACTATATACACTCTCTATTTACAGTCTGTAACAAAAGAAATAATTAACTGCGTATATTTAATATGAGTAAATATTCAAAAGGTACTATATGTTCTTAACTTCTTAAGTTATATTCAAATTGAATAAACTCCATAAAGATTTCATATATTAGAGATACTACTATAACTTTTAATGATATCAAACTTATTTTTTCTATTACAAAGACATAAACCTATTTTTTCTATTATAAAGACAATTTTTAAAATCAATAATCAAAATGTTAGCATTAACATCAAATTGTAAAATACATTTTAAGAATTAATAAAGTGTATCATATTAAATTATAGACAATTGATAATTTCATGGAATAAATAACAAAATTAATTCAAGGAAAAAAATTCTTCAGATATGTATCAACATTTGTAATAAATACAAAAAATTCACAATTACATATTTTAACTGAAAAATTTTATAACACAATTTATTTAAAAAATGACATTAATCAATATTATATGAGAATATAAATAAATTTGGAAATGAATTTAACAAGAAGCTTAGAAAAGAAAACATAATTATTGAATGTATCAATCAGAAAACTTATATACATAAAAACAATATATTAAGTACAAATATACATAAAATAATGTAAAGCAGTATGTAACTGACTCATATACATATAATGTACCATTATAATCAATTAAGATTGTATAATCACAATTATTATCACACATAATAGTTTCTAACAAAATTATTATTTTAAGAGGCAATGTAATTAAGAATTATATGTTATATAATTCTAAACATTTTTAAATAGTCCAGTTATTAAAACTTCCAAGATTTCTAATACAGTTGTGTACTGAAAATAACCTAAATAATAAAAATAATTAGTACATGAAAGTATTTACAAGATTGTAACGTACTTATTAAGTACTATACAAATCTATGATTATGAACATATGTATAAGAAGATTTATAATAAAAAATAGGCAAGAATCACAAAGAAACATTTCTGGAACATAATTTTACTTCTGTTTGTTGAGTAAAGAAGAAAAGGTTAGGATCAACTAATGAGGATAAATAGAAAATCAAATCATTTAGTAAGTATTTCTTAAAATAGGTACGTTTCTCCTAAAACGGCTGTCTAGAAGAACGAATAACTAAACGTTTGGGTGATATGCAGAATGATCTAAATCCCATTCACAAATTTTGATAAATTCTAGATCATGCCACAGATGTAAAAGAAGAAGTTCATCAAGAACACCGAAGGTTTTGTGAATATTTTGCAACACAAAAGCTTCCGAAAACTGACAAAGTAAAAAAAAAAGATAAATTTTGACGTGCGCGGTGAGAATATGACGAAGAAGGATTATCAGGCGCATCACAAAAAACACCTTGTCCGTTTCGTTGATGCTCGCAAGCGAGTTGTGAAAATTCTTCAAATGGATGATAAAGAAATTGGCCGTGTAGAGTTTGTTATACTCCTGAATCGGTACTACGACGTTGATGTAGAATATTTTCCGCAGACCATGTGCACGGTAGACGCCATTTCTGGTTTTGCGAGGAAGGCTTGTCAACCATCGCCGCGGTGGAGCATCGATAGATCTCCGTAAGACGATCAAGTCAAAGTATTTGCAAGTAACTCACAGTTATTATAAGCGTTGTTAGCGAACTCGAAGAACACGTCCAGAGTCAGAAACAAGTGAAATTCACGACGCCTCGGCTTTTTCGGCCGTGGCGCGCGAAAAACCACGAAAAAAACAACAAATTTGTTCGTACCTGGTTAGTGCGCTCAAAACGCAGCTCGGTCACGTGACCGCGGACCCCCCTCCCTAACACGGCAGCACCGCCTCTATGGTTTATCAGGCTGTATACTGCTAGCAATTTTGTATCAGAAATTTCAGGTTAGTTAACTAGACAATTACAAATTTCCTAGATTTTCATTTAAAAAAAAAAACAATTTAAGGCTTCTTTTCAATTATCTCATTTAAACTCGCAATTTTTTAATATCAATGTTATCAATATTATAAAAAATGTTAAAATATTTGTTTATTTTGTAAAGAATAAAATTAAATAATCATTGTAGTCATTGAATAATATAGTATTAATTTTAATTTAGTAATTATGAATAATATATTATGTTTATATGAAACTAATTACGTTAAACTTATTTAAAATTATTGATAGGTAGATAAAAGTTTAATTTTTTTAATAGAATCTATAATGTAGTTTTCGTCAGAATATTCTGATTTTCGCGCATCCTGGCTAAATTCAAAAAGTACTTCATTATTAACGTGATACCTCTCTATTATCTGCTTCATATTCGTGGTTATATACACAGTGGATAAAAATATACGAATAGCGGAAAGAAACGATAATGGTAAAGAAGAATACATTAAATAAAAGATCACCGGTTATACATGCTTAGCGTCACTGACATCGTAAGAGCGCGTGCGTGTTAACCTTAATTATGCAGAATGTAGAAGTGAACGGGGTCAACATGCGCAGAATTAACGGATTCGTTGTTTAGAGAATAAAGCTAGTAAAAGCGTTAGTACCAATTATTACAAACTTATCAATTATTGTTAGAAACATTTATACGTAACATTGTGCACGAAGGTTATGAAGCAATGATTAATGTTATTTATTTAAAATAAGTCACAAAATTTTAATATATTTTATTAACAAATTTAATTACTGATATTATAATGGATTCATATCTAATGCAGGTAATTTATTAGAGAATTTAATAATACAAATGTCAAAGAAATACCTTTTAATACAAGGTTATGTTTATTACAGGTCAGACGAATGTGGTTAAATCAGGATGGTGATAGTTTAGCGGTAACTAATATGTATTTAAATATATTAAAATGATAAATGAAATAAAAGTTAGACATTAGATTATATTAATATTTATATTTTTAAGGATCTGTTATCTTTACGGCATAGCCATGTTTCAATTCCTCAAATTGGATCTGAAACTGCAATGACAAAAACAATGGAACATATATCTGCCCCTCTTGATGATTTGGTACTTTACCATTTAAAGTAACTGGAATATTGTTAATTCAATTTTATAATCATTATTATAGTTGTACATAACAAAATAATATGATATTAATGTTCTTTAGAACTATAGCAGCAATGAACAAGGATGACAGATTAGCTATGTATAATTATCAAAGTTCTGCAGTTCAGTCCTTAACAAAGATTTTACAAATGCAGAAAGAAGAAAATTGGATGTTGCCTGTTATGAATGTAATGTGCTTAGAATTAAGGTTATTAGCAGTACACGTGGAAAATATAAAAACAAATAAAAATATGAAACCTGGAGAAATTTTAGAAAAATGTGCAGATTGTTTGATGGGTTGTTTTCGAGTATGTGCTTGTGACAATCGAAGTTCAGAAGATGACACAAAACGATGGGGCATGTTAGCTTTAGTTAATCAATTATTGAAAATCTATTTCAGAATCAATAAGTTGCATTTATGCAGACCTTTGATAAGAGCAATAGAATCTTCCCCATACAAAGCACATTTTGCATTAGCGCAACAAATTACTTACAAATTCTTTGTAGGTCGTAAAGCAATGTTTGATAGTGATTATAAAGCTGGTAATTATTACTTATGAATTTTAATATAAATAATATGTAATTTAATCATCTCCATAATAAATTTAATTAACTATGTTTCAGCTGATGAATATCTTACTTATGCATTTGAACATTGTCATAAACAGTCTAAAAAAAATAAGCGACTAATTTTAACTTACCTTGTGCCTGTAAAAATGTTATTAGGTTATATGCCAAAACACAGTTTATTAGAAAAATACAATTTGATGGAATTTGGAGAATTAATGGAAGCTGTCAAAAAAGGAGATTTATGCAACTTAGAAAAAGTTATGGAAAAACATGAAGCATTTTTCATAGGAGCAGGAATATATCTAATTGTAGAGAAATTAAAAATAATAGCTTATAGGAATTTATTTAAAAAGGTGTATTTAGTGTTAAACATACATCAGATTCCTATACAAGATTTGCTTTCAGCTTTGCAAATGCATGAAATCCATGATGTAGATATGGATGAAGTAGAATGCATTGTTGCAAATTTGATATACGAAGGAAAAATTAAAGGGTACATATCACATCAACACAAAAAATTGGTAATTTCAAAACAAAATCCCTTTCCACGTCTTTCAACGATACCATAATTGTTATTAAAGTATTTGTATTTTCTTTTTGATAAATAAATTATAAATGAATACAGTTGTTACTTTTTAAAGCTTTATGCATATACATGTATAAATGTAAATTCGTACGACTTTCCTTTATCATGTAATTTGTACAGTTTATGTGCGTAAGCGTATGTGTACATATATCTATACATATTATATATATATTTTTTTATGTATATATATATATATATATATATATATATCAAATGAAAATTGAAATTAATAATAAATATTTTCGTATTATTTTCTTTTTAAATGTACAAATATATGTTTTATACATACATTAAATGCTAAAAATTTATAAAATGCCATAGTATTTTATTATTATTATTTATTTGAATGAAAGTTTAACTGCGCTGTGCGCATGAAGTCTAGTTTGCATGATTATCGGTTAATGAAAAGAAGGTGAAACGTAAAAGCGCAAGACGACAATCGAACTCGGCGAGCGATAGAAGTAATTCGTGCTGTTGGCAATTTTCTTTGGCTATATCTATTCATGTAAATAGTTTAACAGACGAAATATAAGTATCGTGTTATATCAGCGTATCCAGCAATCAAAATTTATCCACAAAATGCTAAGTAAAATAGTTAATAGGACATACTATCGATTCACAGCCTGATTGGTTAAGTCAGTGTTGAATGCAAGTATGGCCGCCCTGCCATCACCCACGCAGGTATATTGTAATTTTTATATTTCTAGCGTGATATAATATTCCATATAATGTGGTTGTTATTAAATATATTGTTTTGAAACTTATTTTTATTTAGTACAATAATATCATTGCTTTTTGCTATGTACATCCGTAATGATCCCATACTTGTACTGCTGATTACTTCAATTTTGACAGTACAAATAATCTTTCAATATATTTACGAAAACTGTATTTCTTCTTTCATATATTTTGTAATAAATTTTGCAATAAAATTGTTATATACTACATACTAACTACTGTATTACAAATAAATTTGACCTTATAATATTCATTTATACGATTGGAAATATCACTTATGATATACTACTCATTTCCGGCAATTAAAATTTATAAAATTTATCTATATATAAATCTAAAGTATCCAATAAAATGTAATAGTTTATAGCATAATGCGGATAAATATAATATTTTTTATGTTTATAGGTGGCTGGAAGCCATACTGATATATATGAAGCCTATTATAATCAGGTATTACATATTTTGAAATAATATATAAATTTATTTTTTTTTTTTTTTGTTCAAGTTTATATTTTTATAAATTTTAACATTTTAAAGTTACATATTTAGAGGATATTAAGTTAAACTATATTTGAAGGTTGATCCCAATGGATGTGGGCAGATTGGTGCGATGGAAGCTGCGAGATTTCTTAAGAAATCCCAGCTAAGTGATGCTATATTAGGTGAAATATGGGATATGGCAGATCCTCAATCACGTGGATTATTAGATAAATCTGGGCTTTTTGTTGCTCTTAAACTTTGTGCATTAGCACAGGCAGGAAGGGAAATTAGTATGTCAAATTTAAGTTTGGAACTGCCACCTCCAAAAATGGTAAGCTATTGTATTATGCATTGCATTAAATAAATTTTTTTATCGATTATTTTTATATATTTGTAGGGTGATATTTCTATACCATACTCTAAAAACGTAGTAAATGCTTTGCCAGTAATAACACCTGTCAGTACCGGAGATTGGTCTATTAAACCATCAGAAAGAGCCAAATATGATCAGCTTTTTGATAGCTTACAACCTTCAAATGGATATATACCTGGGAATAAAGTAAAGGGTGTTCTTATAGATAGTAAACTTCCTTTGGATACTCTTGGAAAAATTTGGGACCTTGCAGATATGGATAAAGATGGTATGCTGGATAGACATGAATTTGTTGTTGTAAGTATTTATGTAATTATTATTTAGTTATGAATTATTAGCAATTATTAAAGAATTGTTATGTTCCATTTATAATGAATTAATTTTTTGTTTTATACAGGCTATGCACTTAGTATATAAAGCATTAGAAAAATATGCAATCCCAAGTGTACTTCCGCCAGAATTAATGCCACCTGGTAAAAGAAAAGACTCAATACCTATAACAAAATCTCCTGCATCTATAGGAATAATAACAACAGCTCCACCACCTATTCCACCTTTACCAAATGTATCTTCTGTAAAAAGTATGCCTAGCATGGATACAGCAAAGGTATTTAAGATTTTATTAAATTATAATGATTTTAATTTTTGTATATCACAAATTCAATCGAAAAATTCGTGATACAGACAAATGTGCAATGGGTAGTTTCATCTGAAGATCAAATAGCAGCAGAAAAATTGTTTTTGCAAGCTGATCTAGATATGGATGGATATGTCTCAGGTATTGAAATCAAAGATGTCTTCCTTCAAAGTGGACTTCCACAAACTGTATTGGCTGATATATGGTATATATATATTTATTTTTATATTAATTATGTGTGAAAAATGGGATGTATTATTTATTTATTTATATTTTAGGAGTCTTTGTGACACAATGCAAACTGGGAAGTTAAATAAAGAACAATTTGCTCTGGCTATGTGGTTCATTAAACAAAAGTTAAGAGGTATTGACCCACCTGCAACTTTGACTCCTGATATGATACCGCCTTCTATGCGAAAACCTTCTGATACAATTGTGGTAAGTGTTTTGCTTTGTTTAAAAAATGTTTATTTATTGATAGTATTTTAATTTAAAAATACAGTATATAATGTAATTAATGTACTGTAAACCGTTTACGACCTTGGAATGCTTTCCAAAATATCATCATAAATACAATAATTATTAAAATTCCACCAATCATAATTACACTATAATTTGTTTGTAACTCTAATTCTCCAGTTACAGTTAATTTCATTACACCAATGATTTTATCTTTTTGCCAACAACTAAAAATAAAATGAATTATACTTAAAAAATTATTATTTAGCTTTATGTAATTATTTACCTATAAACGTTCGAATCTTCGAATTTTAATGACTTGAAAATTATGTGCATTTGTGGATTAATATAAATTCTTCCTTGCGATTGACTTTTAATAACTTCTGGATTCAAGATTTTGTTATTAACATTCCAAGTAATTGGTATATCTGCATTTAAATATCTGAAAAAATATGTAAAAATAGGAAAATAATGTTTTAATTTTTTAAATATGGCTTTACCCTGGACATATAAGGATTGCTTTTTTATTATATCTTTGATAAATTGTTGTGCGTATAATTGTTGGTGGTGGAACAGGTACTCCCTGGATCATGGAATATATACCAGCACTGTTGTTTGCACTTTCAATTACATTTCCTTGTTTATCTCGCACTTCAAATATTTTATTTTGTGGGCATTTTATCTAAAGATTATTAGAATTGAAATTATTAAAATTATTTTATTCTATTGTATATGAAACGCTTTCAATATTATATTTATTTTATTGTTATATATCAAATTTTATTAGTACCTTACAAAATCGCACCATCATTTCTGTCTGTCTGTTCTTAATTTCTGGAATATTCAGAAGTTCTTTTGGTACATGTTTACTCTTACAGGGCAGTTTATTTCTAAATAGATCTAAAATCATTCTTATTTTATCGTTAACACTTTTGTCAAAAACTTCACTTTGAATTGTGTTTTCTTCCATTTCATTTTGTTCATCTTCTGTAACTAAATGTTATTATACTCTGATTAAAAGTTAGTTAATATCTAATTAAGGACAGAGAATAACACAAAAAGAATATACTTTGTCTTCTGTAAACTTCGAGTTGCTTTTCTTTTGTTGCTGCATATGATTTAATATCATTTTCATGTAGAGATATAGTGCAGTGTCCATATCGAACTTTTTTACCAACTAAATTGCACTTAGAACACGATGACCATTTAGCCCACGTTGTATAAATATTTAAATTATATTCTGCTATAATTTGTTTTGGTGTTGCATGAGGCATATTAGGTGCAGTGTTAGGATACACAACTTTTATGTCTTCATGATTAGTATCAATAGATACATAATAAAATGTTGATAACATATCTCCCAATTTGCACCAATATTGTCCAGCTTGTTCTGACTATAAAAAGTTTTATATTACTTCAAAATGTAAATTTTTAAGTAAATATAAAAATCAATTATATATGTATTTTATATTGTTATTATTCATAAGTTTAATATGTTTATACTTTAATATTATAAATCATTAGTTCTTTTTCATCTGGTGAGATCAAAATATTATCTAATTGTTCCACTGGTATACTAGTTTCATTGTGGGTATTATTACTGTAGTACCATTCTATATTATTATTGTTATATATTTCTATTGGAGAAATACATATTTGACATTGTAACCTAAGGATATGTAGTTTAATTAATTTTAGTCTTATATGATGTATTTGAACAACATTTCTTTCATCATACGTGGTAAAAGTTCCTTCTATAGCTGTAAAAGCTATTGGGTGTATTGTCTTTTTTGATTCAATATTAGAATATATTTTTCTTAAACAATTATAATATTCTTTCCATAATTGTCTATGTATTTTCCTACATGTTTCATTTGCTCTTGGATATTCAAATTCATTAATATCCAGAAGTAATTCATTTTCTTGAAAGAAACAAAATTCTATTATACACAGTTATTAAAAAATAATAGAACATATATTACCTTTTTTTCTATTTAACATTTTACTTATTTTTTTGCGAAGTTCATTATATTTTTTTAATAAATGCATTTTTATTGCAATGTTAAACAATGTTGTTAATGCACATATAGGGTTAATAGGAAACCACTTTTAAATATATGACTATTGGTTTCATATAGTTTTTGTTTTATATAATTTGAAATATTATTTTTGAGTACTTCATTTATTTTAAATATATATTTTTGCATTTAAAGCAGGAAATTATGTCAAGAAATCGTGAGCATAATTTACATACAGCATTAAATGCATATTCAACATATAATGAAAAGAATAATACTTTAAATATTGAAGATTTTGTGAAAGTTACACCTTTGTCATTAGATCATAAATTTCCTACAGATATTTTGAAAGCACAGAAAGCAAAATCTATTATGTTTGTAAAACAATTACAGAAAGAAGCAAAAGAAGCAAGGCTAAAATCTTTATTTGAGATAGATAGTTCTGGGGAAATTAAATACAAAACACGTCGTGAATACATTCAAGAATTTATAATGAATATTTTAAATGACAAAACTTTTATTAGTATTGATTGACTTAATATGTAGTGCTAAGAAACATAATATGCTGCAAATAATGAAATAAATTATAAAATGAAATTTTAAATCTTAAAAAAAAATAAAATTATTTATCATTTTGGAAAATGAATAGACTGTTCATCATGAAAGATAAATGTTAGAGATATTAAAGAACTGAATTCAATTATTTGATGTTTAGATATTTGTAATAGTCAATCTTTAATTGTAGTTTTTAGAAATTATATGTAATTATATGTATTTGGATGAAATAAAATTTTTAAGTTTTAGTTTAAAAAAATGTTTGTGTCGTTTATTATTGAGTAGCGGTAACTATTTACATAAATTAATTATTATATAAACTATAATGTATGTAATATATATAATGTATTTTTATGTTCAGGAAAATAATAATATATCTGGATATTCGAATCCAGAGCTGGATATGATAAGCAAAGATATAGCAGAACTTGTGAGGGAAAGACAAAGTATGGAACAAGACATAGCTCAGAAAGAAGCTGATATTAAAATAAAAAATGGTGAAATAAAAAGTTTACAAAGTGAATTGGATACTTTAGCTGCTACATTAAAACAATTGGAGAATCAGAAGGGCGAAGCGCAAAAACGATTGAATGATTTGAAGGCTCAGGTAAATCAAACTACAATTTAGTAGAATTAAATAATCTGCTTGCTGAATGTGTAGCTTTGCTTCAGTGTATATATATATATATATATATATATATATATATATATATATATATATATATATATATATATATATATATATATATATATATATATATATATATATATATATATATATATATATATATATATATATATATATATATATATATATATATATATATATATATATATATATATATATATATATATATATATATATATATATATATATATATATATATATATATATATATATATATATATATATATATATATATATATATATATATATATATATATATATATATATATATATATATATATATATATATATATATATATATATATATATATATATATATATATATATATATATATATATATATATATATATATATATATATATATATATATATATATATATATATATATATATATATATGTGTGTATATACATATACTGAATATGTATATGTACATGTATATACATATATAGAGAGAGATAGAGAGAATATATATATTTAATAAAAATGTGTATTTGTGAAGCGTACATATAGTGCTTTTGTTAAAAATCTGTAAATAATTAAATGTATTACAGCATATAGACATTTTAAGAGCTTAAAAACTTTTTTAATTTATGATACATGTTGCAAATTATGTATTAGAAGTGTTTTGAATTAATACACTAAAAGCATTTTAAAAAATCGTAACAGTACCTTTTCTCATTAATTATGATAATTAATTAGAGAATATATTTAAAATTTATCTGATTAACATTTAAACATAATTCATTCTCTTTTAATGTTAATATTTTACAAGTAATGTTGTAAAAAATGTTAAAATGCTACATGTAGTAAAACTTCCACCATGTTTTTTTATATTTTTAACTACATATTAATTGTGTTATATCTTCTTTCCTTAACATATCATATATCAAATTAAAAAGTATTTTAATTTTATAGTACTTTTAATAGTGAACATTTTCTATATTAAGTCAATTGAATTTTTGATATGTTGTAATGAAATGTACTAGAAACTGCAACTCATTGTTATAATTTACCATGTTTGATTCTAAAATATATATGCTTATTTTTTTTACTGCATGTTAAAAAATATTTATTTCATAAAATGATATTGTTTAAGCAAGTTAGTATAATTTATTATTATTCTTTAAGATTAATTTAATATATATTTTGCAAATATTTCCAAATAAGTAAACTAAAGATTTTAAATTTATAGTATTTATGATACATAATAAGTTATTTACTACTTTTAAAGCTACTTTCAATAATTATATACGCATTACATATTTTCTGTTATTTAGTACAATGCAAATACTGACAAAGAAAAGTATGTATGCATATAAATTATCTGAAAATCATATACTCATTACTTTATTTTTTTACTACAAAAGTATTAATTGCTTTTTATATTATTTAGACATATATGTACCAGTATTTGAGCATTTATTGATTTATTTATTACTTTATTTTATGCTGTATTTAGATTCTTTATTATGATTTAGTTTTATTATGTTTCGCTTGTAGAAGGCAGAAGTAGATAAAGATTTGAGTGAAGTCGAGCAGAAGATTCATGAAGAACAAAAAAAGGTACATCAAAAATTTCTACTTTTAGTAGAGGGCAGGTATGGTTACAGTATATCCAGATTTTATTTTTTATTCTTTTTTTTGTTTTGATTAAATATTATAGTTTCGTAACTATAATATGTAACCATTAAATAAGGTATACTATATTTAAATTAATTTATTACAAAATACAAATAGGAATATTACAAATTAAAAATTAAAAATAGCATTCAGATATTCGTTTTAGTTCTTATTTCCATATAGAAAAATGTGAAGTTGATGTGAAGATTACATAATACTGTAATTTAAATGTTGTATGTATGTATAAGAATTTTCAAGTAAATAACTTGATATTAATATACTACATATTAATTTATGGAAAGCTTCATTTATTTTTATTACATTTGCATAGGTAATGCTAGAGTGCTTTGTTGCAATGCATGGTAAAATAACTGTAGCATATGTTGCCATCAGAAAAATTATATTTGCTTGCAACTATTTATTTAAGGTTTTGATCTGGTACTTAATAATGTATTCTTATTTCGTAATGTACTGCGTAATGTGAAATGAATTGATCCAATTAAATTGATTATACTTTAAAATTATTATTGCAGCAAGTAATTAAACCAGATTTGAGTCTTAAATTTTATCATCATGTGTGATATTTTTTATAATATATATAACTAAAATTATATTTTAACTATTATACATATTAAAGTCCTTATAAAATTGTGCACTGTATGCCTGATATATATTCATGAATGAATATATGTATAAATTATATATTAAAAAATATATTTATGTTATATTAACTTGCAAACAGTTTGTTATAAGCAATACTTTATTGTTCTTATCAATAGGTTGATAAATTACGTCAGCAAGCAGAAGAGCAAGAATCAGTTTTACGTGCTCAAGAGGAAGAACTGAATTCCAAACGGCAAGAATTGGAAGGCTTGAAACAAGAAGAACAACAATTAGAGCAACAGCAAAATAAAAGCAGGGACCAATTAAATGAACTCACAAAAAATTTACAGGATACCCAATTACAAATTTGTCAAGCTAAAGCAAAAATCACTCATTTGCAAGAACAGCAACGACAGATGAGTGATGCAATTGCACTTTATGACTCTGCACTTGCAGCAGGGGATGCCACTCTTGTACCTGATACTAGTCTACAATTTAATCCGGAAATTGAGGAACCAGAGTATGTATTTGATTTGCATATCTTTCAGTCATGTCTGTTAAACAAAATGTAGTTCTACTATAATTTTAACATATTGACAGGTATAATGAGGATGGGGCACAAGAGAAAAAGCGAGATTCATTTTCTAATGCAAACGGAACAGGTTTGGATGGATTTGAACAAGATCCTTTTGCATCAAATAAGGCTCAAGAAGCATTTGCAGCAACAACACCAGATCCATTTGGGAGCGCATTTCCATCTCAAAATACTGTGAGTTTTTAAGTTAAATAATAAGAAACAACATTTAAATAAGTTCTAGTTTGATAACAAGGTTTATTACAGGGAGGATTCACATCTGATCCATTTAGTGCATTTGATAATAGTAATGTCATAAAACAAGATCCTTTTGATCCATTTGGAGATAGTAAAAGAACTGATACTAAAACTGGAAATGTAATAACTGTAAGTTTTGAAAACATACGGATAATAATAACATAATCCTATATTTGTGATTATTATTTTACTTCTTTTTTTTTAGACAACAAAGGATCCATTTGGAGATGATCCGTTTGCAAATCTTCATGCACCACCTCGTCCAGAAAGTCCTAGTCCTGCTCTTCCTCCTAAAAAGGCAAAACAACCGCCACCACGACCAGCACCTCCACGTCCTTCTCAAGGACCTACTGGTCCTCTTCGAGCAGCACCAGCACCGCCTACTCCTTCTCCCACTCCTGATCCTTTTGCAAACGCTAATACGGATCCCTTCTCTGCTCAACAAGGAGTGATCGACAACAACAACAGTACTTTCACTAGCTCAACCGGATTTGCAGATTTTGCAAATTTTGATTCCAAGGTATACACTCTTTAATTCTAAATTAATTACAGAATTGTTAAAAACAATGCTTTAATTTTATTAGTTAGTAGAACAATTATTTTATGATATTATTGATTATAATAAATTATTTCCTTCCTTTCTTTTGAAGTGTTCCTCCATATCAGTTTGGCCATATCCCATCCCTCCTCAGTTTCACCAATTTCCAGTATGTTATATTTTATTACTGTATGCGTTATGTTTCGGAGCTTTAAAAAAATATATATATATATATATTGGTGTGACATAAGTATAATATTATGCATAGTATTGAAGTAGTAATATACTTACATTGAAATATGAAAGATATTTAATGCAATATGCCATTCCAATATATCACAATGTTATTTTGTATAATACGTTTATAAAAGAATTAATTATATTTTTTGTTTTATATTTAGGTAGAAGCTGCACAATTTTCAGTTTATTCATTCAACTGGCTTCTGGAGCATGCTGTCTACAAATTAATTAATTTGTTTTATTTATTTCAATATCGTATTCTTTCATTTTATGATGTTGCATGGCAATTTTTGATTGTTTCATATTCAAGTAAACTGACGTATGTACATATTTGACTAAAATATTCGAGTTATATTGATTAAAAATTATTAACGTTGGAAGTTTCGTTTTAGCATACTTAATTATGTTTAAGTTTTGAGTATCTAAATACAGATTTAAAAATTTTCAACATTTTAACATTCATTTTTGGAATATAAAGCATAAGTAGTAATATATTACAATTTTTATTGCTTTATTATTATGGTCATATTAAAGTTTCTTTTCCATTATATAAATAATTTTGAACTTGATACTGTTTAGGTTTATATATACTTTATTCATTCGTTTTGTGTTTATTATATTAACCAGTAATAAAAATATAAATTTAACGAAATTAAAAGGAACAAAAATAGAAATAATATAAAAATAACAAAGATTATAGTGTATAATGATCGAGGTACAGCAATTAATGTTATTATTAGATCTAGTTTTTTATGTAATAATTTACATATTATGGAACTAACACCGATGAACTCGAATATTTTGAAACGCTTGCAATTTAACATCTCCTAGTATTTCAACAGCAGCAATATATGGTCCAGCAGCCTGACGATAACCAGCGGTTTTCGCGTTATTTGTTCTACCTTTTCAGTAAATGAAAATTGACCACTGAAAAAACCTGCTTCAGCCGGAACCAACACCGAATCGAACGGCGCCACCGAGACCAACGAGCAGAGCTATTGAAGTAGTAATATACTTACATTGAAATATGAAAGATATTTAATGCAATATGCCATTCCAATATATCACAATGTTATTTTGTATAATACGTTTATAAAAGAATTAATTATATTTTTTGTTTTATATTTAGGTAGAAGCTGCACAATTTTCAGTTTATTCATTCAACTGGCTTCTGGAGCATGCTGTCTACAAATTAATTAATTTGTTTTATTTATTTCAATATCGTATTCTTTCATTTTATGATGTTGCATGGCAATTTTTGATTGTTTCATATTCAAGTAAACTGACGTATGTACATATTTGACTAAAATATTCGAGTTATATTGATTAAAAATTATTAACGTTGGAAGTTTCGTTTTAGCATACTTAATTATGTTTAAGTTTTGAGTATCTAAATACAGATTTAAAAATTTTCAACATTTTAACATTCATTTTTGGAATATAAAGCATAAGTAGTAATATATTACAATTTTTATTGCTTTATTATTATGGTCATATTAAAGTTTCTTTTCCATTATATAAATAATTTTGAACTTGATACTGTTTAGGTTTATATATACTTTATTCATTCGTTTTGTGTTTATTATATTAACCAGTAATAAAAATATAAATTTAACGAAATTAAAAGGAACAAAAATAGAAATAATATAAAAATAACAAAGATTATAGTGTATAATGATCGAGGTACAGCAATTAATGTTATTATTAGATCTAGTTTTTTATGTAATAATTTACATATTATGGAACTAACACCGATGAACTCGAATATTTTGAAACGCTTGCAATTTAACATCTCCTAGTATTTCAACAGCAGCAATATATGGTCCAGCAGCCTGACGATAACCAGCGGTTTTCGCGTTATTTGTTCTACCTTTTCAGTAAATGAAAATTGACCACTGAAAAAACCTGCTTCAGCCGGAACCAACACCGAATCGAACGGCGCCACCGAGACCAACGAGCAGAGCACATACAGTATATCCAAAGTTGCCCGACTTCACGGAAGACCCCTTTAGAGATTACCGATACGAAGATCCATTTAACATAGCTGATCCTTTCGCTGACGATGCAGAAGATTTGAACGCTAATAAGAGCAAAGAGACGGGCAAAGTGGATCCATTTGGTTACGGAACAACTTCAATACCTCCTCGTGAGAATTCCTTCTCCAAAAGTTTCGATGCTGATTTTTCAAATACTTTTCCATTGACTAGAAACAAAATTGACAAAGACAATGCTAAATTTGATGCTGACTTCATGAAGGCATTTTCCGATGATAACAGAAATATAAAGACTGTTGAATCTGACGTTTTTTCTAATACCAAGCCAAAAGCAGTGGATATAGATGAAGCATTTTCTGCCAAGAGTGAGAAGTTAATTAAAAAACATGGTCAGGACTTTGCACATTATAAATCTAAAGCTAGCTTTAACGATAAAAAGTCGAAAAATGAGACTGGTAAAATTTGGAATGGTAATAATACACCATTATCGTTGACAGAAGAAGAGCAGTTTGTTTGGGCATCTCAACAAAGTTTAAAAACCGAAGAAGAGAGACGTAGACGTAAACAGAAAGAGGAAGCGGAATTAGCTTTAGCTCTTGAATTGAGCAAACAGGAAAAGTCTGGAAAATTGTAAGCTTGATCAACAAAGCAGTTTCTCGTTAATTCATCCAAGTGATCAACGTACATGTTTTCAAGCACAACGACTTTGTACATGTTGATAGTGAAACCAGAACTGGAATGCATATGATATGTTAACTGGACGCAGTCATAACGGTTAGAAGATTTCGAAATCTCTGCACTAATGAAAGCTACAAAAGATATTCACGTAAACTACAATAATTATTCCGCAATGCTTATTTTTAATATTATATACCATATCATAATTGCTGTGAGACGAAAATATTTAGAGAATAAAACAGATATTAGCAAAGCATACAAATATTCAAGAATCCATAGAGGCATATATTAATCATACAACATCAAGAACCATTTTACCGTGTATGTAATCAGTGTTGAATGTGATCTTTCTGTTTTTCACTTGTCACGAGATGACTGTAAACAAATTGTTGATGCATCGCAATTATTTGAACGTGGAAACTTATGTATTAAATTACACGTATTTGTTGGCACTCTAATTTACCACAGAAATCAATAGAATTTTGTAAAAGAAAAAAAGAAAAAAGATGGAAAGAAAGGAAAAAGGAAGAAAAGAAAAGATTAATTATTGCCTTGCAATATCGAATTCTAAAACAATGACACTTATATAATAGTAGCTGGTTCTACACTATTGCTAACATTAAATTAGTATGTATAAAAATGAAGTATAATGGCAGATTATTGGATTGACAATAAAACGTTGAGTACATGTATTCCGTGAGTTAAAAATGAGAGGAATAGTGATATAAATGATTATTCGTATTCAAGCAAATGAAGGTTCTCAGTGTCATTACGTGAAACACACTCTTTAAATATACATCTGTACATTTGTGATTAGCAGCGGAGTAATGTTTCTGTTTAATTTCATTTATGCTAAAATTATATGTCCTGTGCATAGTACTCTAATTCAATACGCCGTCACCAGTGTTGATCGGGAGACAAGTTTACATTTACATCATAGGACTGAAAACTTTGCGCCTCACAAATTGTTAATTACATAGAAACACAAGTATAAATATTACCAAACCGTTGTTACATACTCTAGTATGCTTTATGATGCAGTAATTATTGTGTGTATGAAAAAGTTTCCATAATAAGTTTTCAATGTAAAACATAAATTTATTGTTCATCTGAAGACGCAATAGAGAAAAAATGGAAAAATGTGTGTTTCTCTTTATTATATATCACGTATCATTTTATCAGGACTGAATAAAATGAAATGTTGCGAATAGTAAAAAAACGATGGTATTGTTAAGTTAAATAGTAAGTGAATCGTTACAATTACGTTCACGAGAATGTCGTCTAATTTAGCCTTCAGTCTTAGTACGTCCCAAAGAATAACGTGTTCAGATAAAGCGTAGCTCCCGTGTTTGTCTCCTGTGATGCCGTGTCATATGGAATCATTGAAGTCAAACTCAATGGGATGCGTTTATTTTTACTTTAACTGTTGTACCATGTAATTTCACAACGACAATGTATTACGCATGCTGTATATATTAATATCTATATATTATTTCATCGTAATTATTATGACCACTATCGTGTTACTATTGTTATATCACTATCATTGACATTACTATTATTATTATTATTATTATTATTATTATTATTACTATTACTATTATTGTTGATAATGTAGCATCTATTACCATAATAGATGCTGCAATATATCGTTTTCCAATGAATCGAAGTAAGTGTAAAATTGTATTATATATACGTTATTCATATACGTATATATACATATAAATATTATATATAATTATTGTATATCGATATTGTTAGCGTTTCAAATGCCTATATACAGGGTGTCCCACATAGTTAGGACAAGCTGTATCTTCAAAACGATTGAAAATGGAAAAATGTCATAGGACAAAGTAATTAAATGATGTCAAGTGATGCATATTTTGGAATTAGTTTATTTACGCATCGCAAAAATGTAACCTTTATTTTTATACGACCCTATACCTTTGGATGTATTAATGCAGTTTCTCATCTTCTATAAAAAGATACCAAAATGATTAGTTTTATACTATACTAAATATTGATAAATATTTTTCGTTATTTTATTCGTGTTTGATGTACATGTATCAGTTACATTCCTGTATTTTTTGTTTTTGGCAGAGAAGAATACATTTTGTCTGAAGTAATTTCTTAAAGGAAGCAAAATTAAGTTGGGATTAGTAATGATGGTAGTTTTATATAAAGAAAAAGTGAGGGAAAAGACCTAATCACTGTCCTTGTTGCAGTAAAGTCAATGTTAGACTTTCCTTAGTTATATGACCTTGGATATAAGCGAAACTAAATTTCTCGATTGCAAAATTTCTAAACCTTTAGATTCTTAAAGTTTTTAATTTATAAATTTTTTAATTTTAAGAATTGAAAGTTTGTAAATTCTTAAATTTATTTACTATATATTTAAATTTATAAATTTGAACATTTCATAATTTAAATAATTTTCAAACCCACAAGATTTGTAAATGTCTACATTTGAAAATTATTAAATTCCTTTTCCAAATTTGAAAATTTCTTAGAGTAAAAATAAACTTAGTGATTTGAAAATTAGTAAATTCGAAAATTTGTAAATATAAAAATTTTCAAGTTTCTGCACTAATGAATATAATAACAAAAATGCATAAATTAAATTCCAGAATATGCATCAGACGTCGTTTAATTTTGTTGTATTTTTTATCTCCAATCGTTTTGAAAGATACTGTTTGACTAATTTACGTGGCACATCCTGTATATCTACATCTTAATAACAGACATACATATAGATATAGGATCAAGCGCGATGATTACAGATGTGTGCCAGAATGACATTTTATCGGAACAAACCAAATGATTTGATCTCGTTTGATTCAAATAATTGAGAAAGTCCTCGTCCAAAGAATTAAATTGATTGTTCATTTTATCAATTGTATTCTACTTGTGACGAACAGTCTTTGTTATTGAATGCTTTGTCGTGCCGTATATTTTCGCAGACTTAATGTAACACTTCTTGAACTGACATTGATATTGTTCACTAGTAGGTACTCACCACTTCTTCCTAAACATGAAAGAATTATTTCTTTTATTACATATAAGACTCCTGCTAATAATTATATATACAGATGAGATTTGTTGTATGTTGTGAAACGTCTTTTACAAATTTTAAATTACTTCTGGTTGCTTATAATTGCAAGCAAGATGGTACAATCGGTAACTATAATTGTTGCTATAGCTTGAAATTCTGTTCTTAAGAAAAAAATTTTTCTACAAATTTAAAATTAAAGCAATACGAAAATGTATTACGTCCAATGAAAGGAAAAATATAATTCCAAAATAATGATTAAATATGAAGAATTAACGTACAAAAACTGGATACGTATTGATAAGCATGTCAGAGATTTAAAAAATGTACAGGATATTTACGCATAAATTTACTTTTAAGTAAGTTTAATATTTATTAGGACGATTATTGTGTACTAGTATGTATTTTGATTTATAACATAAACTTTCATTGTTCAGAATTTGATGAAAATTCGTAATATTATGTTATTTTTATATTCTAAGCGAAATTATCAACATTTTCCCGTGTTAAAAGTAAACCCCTCTTCGCAGCACTTTTTTAGAAGCAATAAGAAGCAGTTTCAGAGAATATCGAACGTGTTGAAAATGTGGATAAATATTATTTTGGATAGCGTAGATATTGGTGTGATTAGGTGGGGTCTAACCCTTATTGTCAAAAATTGCCGATATACAATATCGAGTATGGTAGATTTCCCTAGGGATAATGGTGTTGCAAAGGAAGAAAGCCTATGACATTCAAAGGTTACGCGGTATGTAGTTTATAGTTGCTGGTCCTTTTTCTAATTCGCGTACTTGGTAATTTCGGAATTTAAAGATTTGGAGGCTTAGAAATTTAAGAAATCAAGAATTTGTGAATGTAAAAATTTAACATTTAGAAATTCTGAAATGAAGAATTTGGAAATTGTAATTATTTGGAAATAAGTGTAGAAATGAAAAAAAATTGGGAATTAGATTTGAAAATTTCGACGCTTTTAATATCTATTCCACAGGGTGTCACGCTAATCACGATTTTTCTCCCACTTGCAGCCACTTTACGACAAAAAGTTCAGAACAATATTTGCAGGGTATGAAGTGCACAATAGATATTAGTAAAGCAAATTTTGAAAACAGTTTGTTCTTTTGGCAAAGTTAAGGTCACCTTGGGTTTTTTAAATAGGAACATACATTTTTTTTATGAAGAGCTTTAGAGGACATCGAGACGAATTCAAAACACATGTTACATGATATTTTTATTAACATACTACTCGATTTACAGAAGAGGAAATGTGAAGTACTTAGCTTTTGACTTTGGTAGTGTAACCATTATTTGATTCCGAAGAGATTACTGAATGTAAACACGCGACTAGAATGTAAGAAAAATACACTT